CAACTAAGTAAGTAGATAAATAACTTTAAACTTTAGTACATGCTCTGTACATCATCTTCCTGAAGATGTGAGACAGGCTTCAACTCTGACTGTTTAAATCCAGGTTGAAAACGCTTCTGTTTAACTGTGCGTATGGAAATTGAATGTATTTTGTCTGCACCCTTCACTTTTCATCGGTCTAATTTTGATTATTTTTCTTTTCTTGTTTTTCTGCTTTTACATTCTCTGTGAAGCATTCTGAATTGTCTTGTACACGAAATGTGCTATACAAATAAACTTGCCTTGCCTTGCCTTGATAGGCCGGGATCGGGATTGGATCGGAAATGAAAAAAGCTGCATCGGGACATCCCTACTATGGGCTGTACCCACACCCCCCCAGGCCGGGTCCCCCCTCACCTTGAGTGTTCTGGAAGTAGTGGCGCCACAGCGGCCTGATTTTGTCCTGACCGCCCACATCCCAAACCGTGAAGCTGATGTTCTTGTATTCTACCGTTTCAACGTTAAAACCTGCAGAGAAGAGGAGAAACGCGGCTCAGAGGGAGGCACAAAAACGACCCGAACAAAACAGGAAATGAAAGAAAAAGATGAATAAAACAAAGAAATCGACTCATTTTTAGGCTTTAAAACTCATTCAGAGTTTCTGGTAATGATTCCGTCTGAAACTAAAAGTAGACAAACATTCAACTTTAAAGTAACATGTAAGAAGAGGTGGGATATATTTTTTAAAAGAACAAAAAGCAGGAAAAGGGAAAAAGAGAAAGCGGTCAAACGCATTGGCCTCTGTACCGATGGTGGGAATGGTGGTGACGATCTCTCCGAGCTTCAGTTTATATAGGATAGTTGTTTTTCCAGCAGCATCGAGCCCGACCATGAGGATTCTCATCTCTTTCTTGCCGAACAGGCCCTTGAATAAGCTTGCAAATACATTCCCCATGGTGACAGAGCTGTAAGAGAACAGACCATTAGAGGGTCAAACCCCTGCAGAGGACTGGATCCTAAAGGGAGAATAAAGCACAATGTCCAGCCAGATTTCAGCCCCGGACCAGTTTCTGTCACATAATGAAGAGCGAAATGTTTTCTTAGTCTATAGCTTAAAGCGCCAAACCTTCAAATACAGATGTAGCTACAAACATATTGACTCCAACATGTAAAAGTGTGGGGAGGGATGGAAAAGGTTCCTAGATTACTGTATCCTAGATAAGACTGGAAGGAATTTTAGAGATGTGTGACAGTACAGACATAAAATGATTCTTTACCCAGGTTTATAAATACTACACGCCTTTCCAAAAGCCACAAAACAAAAGAACAACATATTCACTGTGACAGCCTCTGATATAATCCAGGAAGGGAACAGGAGCTTTCAAATGGCCATTGACACTAAAGAAAACACGCTCCATTCATGTTTGCTTTTCTACTAGCCCAGGGTTAAGTCAACAACCTCTTTAGTGTGATTTTATGGTCATCAGACCTGTCCCTTTCCTCCGTATTGTGCCAAAAACTGCGTGTGACAGTCAGCTAAGGGACGGATCCTTTACATGAGTCAATATTTAGCTACAAAACGTTTGTTTCGGTCTCAATAAAAAGAGAAACGTGGGTGGATTTCTGAAGACAGACGTGTCCGAGTTTGTCATGGTCAGTAAGAATAACCCAACGCCCTCGTTTTCCAGTCCAAGAGCAGAAAAAATGCGGCTTTTTTAGTAAATTTGTTCAACTGGAGAATCCACGACCCGTGATGCGACTACCGCACATGCGCACACGGACTCCTCCACTTTAAAGACATATATCGTTCACTCATAAGGTTGAAGACACAACACTACCAAATATTCCAAACAATCAACATTTGACTGTTCACACCCTCAAAGATTTAACTTGGATATGGCACATAAGTTAATTATTTACACATCTTTAACTTGGACCTGAGGCAGCTTCAGTCGGATAAGCTGAGCTAACTGATCACTAGATAAGAAAGGCCGGATCCGGCTGGTAAACTCAAAGATAATATGAATTTAGTGCTGTCATCCTAAATCCAAAGTCTGTCTTTGCGGGCACCATAAAAGAAAAGAAAGTCTGTTGAGTTTGGCTGCTAACGCCACTCGTAGCTAATTACTCTTAGCCTACCTTAGGGCGGATGCTCCGGCTAGCTTGTTAGCCTGCTAGCTTGTGTTAGCTTGGCTGCTAACGGATAACACGGCTCCTAAACGAGCAAAAAACACCCTTTGCCACACACGCCGACGGTTTGCCAGCACTACAAATACCGACACACTATAACGACCATCGACGGGGCCGGGGTCCGGAATGGTTTCCGCGTTAATCCGCAGTGACAGCTCCGGTCTTCCGCTACAGGAACTGCCGCCGCTAGCTAGCTAGCGTTAGCTAAATGCCGCGTCACAGTACGGAGAGAACACCGTGACGTAATGCCAGACTTCAGCCAAACCGCTCGGTTTCAAACGGGCGACAACCCCCTCACACGGCGTCAAGTTAGACGACGAAAACCACCGCGTTTCGACGGGTCCTTACCTCTAGAAAGACAGCTTCTTGATCTTTCCGTTATCTTTCACTGTCACTTCAAAATGGCGTCTTGCGCAACCAGGGATACACCGGCGTGTGGGCACGTCCCACTAATCAAGCCCCGGCCAATCACAGTGCGCCTGGTGTGCTGGATGGCCCGCCCCCTTCCCCCTTTGGACCAATCAGCGCGGAGATCGGGTCTTGTGTGTTCACAGCTCACAAAATGTCGAGGAAGTGAGCAGCGCACAAGTTATTCAAGTTTCAGGCTGTTCGTCGGGAAAGTTGATGACAAAACGGGTCGGTGCACCGAAACTTTGATGGTGTGACTCCTCCACCAGCTACGGATTCTGGGCGCGACAGGAACCGATTTAGTCATGAAAAAATGGCCGCGGAGGTCTGATTCTGGGGCCCTGAGGAAAGCACCTGGAAAGGAAAGTAAGCACAGGCTGAGGGGGTTTATTCAAAATACATTCATTTAATTTAAATTAATACAACAGGGGCTTACTAAAAGATTACATTGATATTAATGCCTACAATTTTTAAAAATCCCCCTTTGCTTGTTCATACTATTGATTGGAAAATTGGGATCCAAATGTCTTCGCTCACCCTCTCAAAAATGATGTAATTATTATTATGATGTATTACATAATTCATCAGTGTGCTTGTGAAGTGGAGTTTTCATGCTCAGAACAAAGAAATAAAATAAGAAAACGGCTTCTTTGCTTTTGGTATTTTTTTATGTGACATAATAAACATGTACAATGTTCAAGTATTGGAGACCTGGAGGGTTTTTGTTATTTGAAATACTAAAATACAGCAGGTGACAGAACAAACTATAGTTTCTACATCAAAAAGGAAGCAAAGCAGAGCTGAGAATCAGATTTCTTTTGATTTTTCAAATGAATTTGAAATTATTAGAAATGCAAAGATATAATATAAAAAAAACTATTAGCAGAAAACTCAAAGATCTCCACACGCTTAAGGCTTCATCCCTAAACTCTTAATTTGTTCCAAACCTTACAGCTCTCATTCATGCTTTCATAACACATTATTTTAGGAGCTCATTATGAAAACTGCAAGCAGAAAACAGAGCATTCATGCAGCCTGAAAATGAGGTCGTTTTTCGACTCAAACTGAGTTTTAATTCGAGTTTAAGCCAAAACTAGGTTGTTTTTCTGACTTAAACTGAGTCTTAATTCGAGTTTTAGACAAAATGAAGTTGTTTTTCTGACTCAAACTGAGTTTCTCTGTGAGTTTGTTCTTAAACGAGGCCATTTTTCTGCCTTCACTTCCTTTAACTCCTGTTTAAGGGAATCAAACACAGGGTGGAATCAGCCTTCCTCAAAAGATGATGTTAGTGCAAACGGCAGAAGAATCCCCAGAAAACCCGAGAGGTTTGGTCTCATTCCCTGAGCTCCAGCTTGCCGTCTCTGATCCTCCACCTCCAGCGCTGGCAGCCGTCCGGAGCAGAAACGCAGCAAAGCCACCGGCCAGACTCTCTCACCTCCTCCTCACAGGGAACCGGCCTCCGGTCCAGGGTCTCCAGGGTGAAGGCTTTCCGGGACACCTGGAGGAGTGGTGGTGTAATGGTTAGCATAGCTGCCTTCCAAGCAGTTGACCTGGGTTCGATTGATTCTTTGGATAAAAGCGTCTGCCAAATGCATGAATATGAATATATATACACCTGAGGGCCAGAGGGGACAGCTCACCTGGGTCCTTAGTGCCAGGACTTCACAAAACAGCTTAGAACCTCAAACATTCAGGCTATTTTCTTCGTTTAAAGCTACGTTTGGACTGTTTTAGACATCCAAAGATGGAAAAGGAAGAGAATTGTAAGGCTGTAGGTGTAGGCTGTTTTCTCGTTTATTTCCTTAGTTTAAAGCTACATTTGGACTGTTTTCAACATCCAAAGATGGAAAAGGAAGAAAACTGTAACCCAGAGGTTTTAACATAATGAGAAATAAAAAGCCTTGAATACACAGCTTACCTGGGCTCTGGAAGCCAGGACTTCAGAAAAGAGCTTAGAACCTCAAACATTCAGGCTGTTTTCTCATTTATTTCCTTAGTTTAAAGCTATGTTTGAATTGTTTTAGACATCCAAAGATGGAAAACGCAAAAAAAACTGTAACCCTGAGGTTTTGACATAATGAGAAATAAAAAGCCTCGAATACACAACAATATACTGAGAGACATAAACGTGCTTCGAAATAAATAGCAGACGCCCAAAAAAGCAGAAAAAGAATGAGGTCAAGCATGTTTCCATTAAATTGTTTTGTTGGAAAAGATTTTTGAGATGATAAAAGTTTTACTCTTCCATTTAAAATGGTTAAACCCCTAAAATTCCTTTTAGCTTTCAGACATTTTAAAGGCCAAGCACAAATTTTTCAGATTATTTTTCATCATATAAAGAAAATACAAAGATAAAAACACATATATAAATTTAGATTAATATTTATCCTCAAATTAAAAAGGAATAAGTCTTTAAGAGCTCTATTTATGACTCCAAACTTCAGAAAAGGTTGGGCCTCTTCAGGCTGCTTCCTGATTGGTCAGAGCCTGTGACATCACCTGTTGTCAGGCAGTCTGTGATAAACAGATAAAGTGATAAAGGAGCTAATTTAAAGCCCCCGGCTCCGACCTGGTCGCTGATCCCTATGGCAACGTGTCCGACTTTGACCCTCCGCTGCTCTCTGATCCTCAAACACTCGCCCCGAACCAGCTCGATCCAGATGTCCACACCTGGAACAGCCCACAGCCTCGTTTAGAATCAGAATCAGAATCAGAATCAGAAATACTTTAATAATCCCAGAGGGAAATTATTATTAGTATTATTTCAAAAACACACACCACCCCCCTTCAGCCAGAGGGGAGGGAGCAGCATCTGGCTGCAGTCTGTAGGAGCCTCGGATGGATATCCGACTCCTCCCACATCCAAGTCGGCCATTTTGATTAGGTCATGTGACTATCAGCTTTCTGAGGTGGAAACGAAACTTTACTGTCTATACGAAATCGGAAGATAAACGATGTCCTAACCCTAAACCTAACCCTAGCTCTAGCCCTGACCCTAAACCTAACCCCTAACCCTAACCCTGAACCTAAACCTGAACTTAAACCTAATCCTAACCCATAACCTGACTCTGACCCTAACCCTAATCCTAACCCTGACCCTAGCCCTAATCCTAACCCTAAACCTGACCCTCACCCAAAGCCTTAACCCCTAACCTAACCCCTACCCTAACCCTAACCCTGACCCTAACCCTAACCCCTACACCCTTCATAATTGTGAGAAATAAATATTTTTTGGTTAAACTTGTTTGGACTTATTGTACAAACCTATTATACATCCACTATTTTAACATAATATTATGGATAGAGTTTAATTCAGTGTTTGCTAGATTACTTTCACTATTTTTAAATTAATGTCTATATTGCCATGAAGCAATTAGGATTTTCTCTCCTGGGATCTTCCTATTGGTGACCTAATCAACATGGCCGACTTGGATCTGGCTGAGTTGGACACCTCCCCCCGTCTCACCATCAAAGCAGCAGGAAGACGCCCGATTGGCCGGAGCGCCCCAGTCCAGCCCCCCCCCCCCCCGCGCCCGTCACAGGACGAGAACACGCCCGAGCTCAGGTCATCAGAGGAGCGCTCCGAGTCCTGAAACAGGGAGGGAACCGCTAGCATTTAGCTAAAATTAAAATTAAACAACTAAAATTACCACATTCCAATGTCGTCAACATGACATCAACTATAGACTTAAGAACTCTTTTGTCCCCCACGCCATCAGACTGTACAACGCCTCACTGGACAGGGGGAAGAGATATCACATACACTGTACTTAATCTGTATTTTTTATTTTTTTATTTATTTATTTTTATTTTTTTGCTTAATTTAATTCTAACTTAATACTTTTTGCCCTGTAAGCTGCTGGTAACCTTAATTTCCTGAGGGAGTCTTCCCAAGGGATCAATAAAGTACTGTCTAAGTCTAAGTCTAAGTCTCTAAATCTGAATTAGGATTAGTCCCAGAGGTAACTGGTCAATAAAACGCAGTTATGTCCAGTCCTCCTGTTAGAATTTGGTTATAATTACTCACTTTCACATTTTCCACTGTTCATATCAGACGTAACTGGCCAATAGGACTCAGTTATGTCCAGTCCTCCTGTTAGAATTTGGTTATAATTACTCACTTTCACATTTTCCACTGTTCATATCAGACGTAACTGGCCAATAGGACTCAGTTATGTCCAGTCCTGTTAGAATTTGGTTATAATTACTCACTTTAGCATAGCATGCTATCACATGATCTATGTAAATTACTGAGTTGAACATACTTTCTTTTTCTTTCTCTGTTGCATTACATCCACACTATTTGTTATTATTTGCTATTTGTTAGCACATTCCACTGTTATCTACATGAATTAGGACCTGGCCTGTTCATGTCTGAGCTAACTGGCCAATAAAACTCAGTTATGTTCAGTCCCCCTGTTAACATTTGGTTATAAATACTCACTTTAGCATAGAATGCTATCACATGATCCATGTAAATTACTGATTGTTTTATTTTCTTTTATAACTATATTTATTTATTTATTTATTTA